CTTCTAGACCGGAGCTTGTTGTTGGAACCTGAGGAAATATATCAGAGTTCAACGGCCAGATGCCAGTGCTTTTAAATAAGTGACAAGCATTTTGCACCGTAGCTGCCTAGCCATATGTTTCGTTGAACCCTACGTAACAACACGTCCAAGATATGCCTTCAGCCATTCAGCAATTTCTCGGTTATAGGAGGTCTTCAAAGGTCCAAAACAGGGTATATCAAGAGGTTGCATACGATGAGTTTAATGCGGAGGCGGACAAATAACATGAATAGCGTTACTCCCAAGTTCCAATGCCTTCATGACTTGCATATCCATCGACAATTAGAATCACTTTATCTTCAAATTTTGCTTTTACAAATATTTGGAAATGTTTTATCTATTTCATAAATGTTTCGATTGCCGTCCAGCCTGATTGTTGAGCTACACCTAAAGTGCCAGGAGTACGTTTCTCATATTTTTTCTAGGAAATATTATCATTGGCAGTATGAAAGTTCCAACATCATAAACACAACAAACAACAGTGGTGTTAGCATCACCCCCCACACAAGTTATAACTCCGACTTGTTTCCTTCCCGTAGTAGCAAAATCTTTTCAGGTTTTTGCACTGTAGATAGCTCAGATTCTTCAGCATTATAAATACGAAGAAACCGTTTTTCTCAAGCCATCTGAAAAGTTAATTCTTGTACTGATGCACGTGTCAATCCGAACAAACGACTTTCAAAGAATTCTATATGCTCAACTAATTGTCTTTCCACATCAGGTGGAAAGGTAGCTTTTCAACAACCAAGGCCTTTTGAATTTGACTTTAAAGTTTTATTAGTGCCTAAAAAATGCCTGCGAAAAGTTGCATGAGGAACCAACACCAAATGTGTTTGAAACCACTAACCAACCCGTTTTCTTATCTCCATCACAACTGCCTCGATGGCTTTCTTCATCGACTCCGTACTCCAAGATTGCCGATCAGACGTTCGTTTATAATCGCGTAGAATTTTAGTATATGAAAAAAATACATACCTACATACATATAACACAAAAGCTATGGACAAAATAACGTACCTATGCCATTTTGTTCGTTACTTATGCATGTCGTTTTGTCCGTCGAGCATTTTAAAACGATAAAATTTGTAAATAAATATACAAAGAGCTCTTTTTCTAAAAATAAGTTATTTAATTTAAAGATAAGTGTTAGGGAAATGAAACAAATGTTACATAAACAGATAAAATAGCAAAACAAAAACTTTGTCAGTATAAAAAAGCTCGTAACGTGTAAATACCTGTCATCAGTCATAACATAAAGACGAATGAAAGGGGTGAGTTCAAAAATTTGACAAATTATAGAGTGCCGTTACGGCGACATGGTGTCACTGTCCGCCAAATTCAAAATAACCCGCCTATGTAATTTGTACTTATATGTCATTTTGTACGTATTTCCCCTACATCAGCGTTTCAACGTATCTTATAGGCGAATAATATTGTTCTTGCATTATGTAGTAATTCAGTTCATTTCAAAATAAAAAACAGATTATTCTGAATTACATATTTTCAACTGATGAAAACCCTCAGATTAAGTTCACCCAATCCCATTATTCAAACAATTTTGTCTACATTTCTTGACAAAAAAGGTGCACAACAGAAATGTAATAAAATAACCCACTCTCATTTCCATAATTAATCTTATCAAAAGTTTTAGCGCAGTTCTACTACAGAGGCCACTCACATTTCCATGACTGCGTGACTTGATACAGTTTTAGAAATGATTTAATCCTCCTCATCCATCAGTCCTGTGAGATCTTGATAGAAGTTAATTAGAAACCAATATTTTATTGTAAAAGACAAAAATGGAAATGGGACTGACTCATTGGGCAGGGCAGAATTGGGTTCCTTATCAAACAGGCATGTATCCCGTAGCAAACAGGCCCCATTCCTAATGCGCGAACTCATATGTTGCGTAAAGTTATCGCCAAAAATAGATCGCCCCGTAGTAGTTCAGACATTATCGTGATTGGCGCGTACTTAACAGTGCATATAAAATAAGTTTTTTAAGGGCAAAACATAAGCACTACAGGACAATCCTTAAGGCGCCCTAAGAGCGGTGCCTGTGCGAAAGTAACGATTCACGGTGGATTTGAATCGCTGGAGATTAAATTCATTTGGAGAAACGTTCTCAGGAAGTTTATTCCACACAAACACAGTTCTCCGACTGAAAGAGTTCTTAAACAATGAAGTTCGAGGTATACTGAGTTGAACCTCAAAACGATGAGCAGCTACAATCCGTCGCGTATTTCTGATATGTACTGCTCTTGGTGGAAGCAAATGTGCCAAGTCACTCGAACACTTCCCGTCAAAGTATCTATCTATAGAAGAGAGATAAATCTCCAACCTCTCTTCGATGTTCCAGACCAGGGGTCTCCAAACTTTGAAGCCTTCGGGCCATAATGATTTTTTCAGTTTGTTCCAAGGGCCAATTTCTGCCCTTAACTATATTTCTAGACTAGGATAGTCGCAAAGTGCGTGTATTGTGACACTTAACGACATCTAGTGGCGAGTAGTAGTACTATGTACTATCTTTTTCAGTTACCCGCTAGGTGGCATTAGGCGTAATTAAATATTTGGAATTACCGCGTTGGTTCGAGAAAGTTCTGGTTCTAGCTAGTGTATTCCGATCACCTCGAGATGGCAGTAATAATTGCATATGGAGGCAAAAATATGTATGGTAAAAATGAAAGAGTGGTTGCCCTTGTGTCAAAGGCTGCAGTAAATGATGGTGGTTCAAAACCATTAGTCTTACATTGTCTCATTTGACAAATCATATGAACGAACTGAATTTGAGATTGCAAGGAGAAAATCAGCTTCTCCCTGATTTATACACCAATATCAAATCCTTCAAGCAGAAAATAATACTATTTCAATCGCAATTACGTAAAAAATGTTTCACACATTTTGAAACATGTGAAATATTCAGCCACACTACAGAGACTGAATTTCCCGTCAATTTTGCAATCGAAACTTTGAGTGCTTTGAAGATAAATTTTGATACCTACTCGTTTTTCAGATTTTGATGTCATTGCGAATGAAATTAAGCTTTTTCGAAATCCTTTTGATGTTGACATTGAAACCCTGGCTCCGGAAGTCCAAATGGAAATTATTGATTTACGGTGCAGTGTATATGCTTAAGAACAAATATCAAAATTCATCTTTGTTGGAATTTTATATAAGTCTTCCATTGGAACAATTTGATAATTTGCATAAATTTGCTCATGGATTGTTTTCTGTTTTTGGGACTACTTAGGTACTTGTGTGAGAAAACGTTTTCCTAGATGAAGTACACAAAGAATGTTTACAGATCTCAATTAACCGATGAGCATCTTAAATCTCTTTTGATAATTGGTACAAGTAAAATTGATCCACAACTACAAAGTATTTTCGGTGTAAAATCACAATTACATAAATCTCATTAGTGTTTTTGTTTCACTGTGATTCATTTCAATTATTTGTTAGTTATTAATATGCTTAAACTTAGATACTTAAGTTAAGTTTTCTTTGTCATCATTTCTGTCGTTAAGTTTTACCTTGTAAGTAAATAAAACCAAGTAATTATCATTCTGTGTTTTCTTCTTCAACTTATCACAGCAATAGTAACAACAATTAAGTAATCATTGGCTGTCGCGGGCCAGATTAATGACAGTAAATCGTTGGCATTGACCGCTGTTACAGACTATCAAAGTTGCAAGTGATTTTCGTGTTTCCAATCAGACGAATGGCTCTTTTCTGGATGGAATCCAGCAGCTTCAATGTATCCTTAGGTGCGGAGATCCGTACATGAGAACAATACTCCAAAGAAGGTTTGATCTGAGCTTTATAAAGCATCAAAAGTTGCCGAGGTGTGTACAGTTTCATGTTTCGGGACAGTGTAACTAGCTTTTGAAAAGCAGCATTTGCAATTCCGCGACATGATTATGCCAAGACATATTGGTGTCCATTTTAACCTAAAACAAACTTATCGAAGCAGAAAGAGGAATTGTCTGTCCTGAAATTATTATATCTGGTTCGGAGTAATTCATTTTTTTGGAAAAAACCTATGCCTGGGTTTTCTTTGCAATGAATTGAACCTGGTTACTTTTACCCCAATACACCATCACCTCTATATCCCCATACATATGCAACCTCTTGCTGTCTTGCTGTGCTGTTGTCGGCAAAGCAATATAGGTATTGGATGCTTGCTTTTTTCTAATAAGTCATTGATACTCGTATACTATAAAAATAGGGTTGGAGATTGATAAATATGAAAGATTTTGACCTAATAAAGTTTGTTATCGAAAAAGATTTGATACCTATATGAGTATTCATATAGAACACATATGTCATTTATCAAAATGTCGTCTACGAAACGTGTGTGAGCTGAAGATGAATGGGGTCTAACTTTCAACCTGCGATTCTAAAAACAATACATAAAACTGGGTAGTAATTCGAATCTTAATTATAGTAGGTGAGGACAAATTTATTGTAGTCGATTGATTAAGTATTCACAGAGATATTACAGTTCAAAATAGACTCATAAAAACGGACGAAACTTTTGAAACAACCTAATATCTAAAAAGAGTATGTGCTTTGCAACAGCAGTGAAAAATGAAAAATTATTAGATTATCTTTCTGAAATGCTAATTAGGAAAATCTCTGAATGAGTTGTTTTCCAATATTTGGAATGACTTTTCAGATGAAAAGTTTGTTCAAACCGTTTTTTACAAAAATCTGTCAACATCAACAATCTTCATAAAATGGGGGTAATATATAGGGACAGTAAATGATATGAGTTTAGACATAACTAAACAGTAACCACTACACAAATACAAGGTCAGGGAAAGACAAAACAGTATATAAAACTGAAACAGTAATACTGAAGATAACAATCACGAAGTTGCCAAAATGCTGAGAAATACGGAGCGGAACTGTCGCTAAAACTGACGTGTTAGGAATGGGATGAAAGCTTCAAAAATACCTCATATTGTTCACTGTTTATTTCAAATTTTTATTTGTAAAAATTCATCATACAACTTAATGAGACTCGAAGGTGTTCTTGGGGTTATCAGCTTCAGAGCCTTTTCGAAATGTCGGCTTTCCACATGCTGGCACTCCAAACTCTCTTCTAATGCCGCCATAGCTGCTTCGTGGCATACTGCATTGACTTCAGCCCCTGAGTATTGCATGGTTTTCTCAACTAGTTCATCTATGCTCACATTCAATACCTGAAATTAGAAGAATATCAATATTTACTTCATTCTAGTTATAGATTATTGTCAAGTTCACGATAAAGGATAATCCATTTAGTGGATTTCGGCAAATCAGAGTACAATGATAACATTCTATGAGATAATGCAGAGTTGAATATAATAATTGATCAGGATTTTGGGATTGAGAAATACGCTTTATTTATATCACAACAAAACCACAACAACGCAATCGTTTCTAATGATCGACAGACTACTACTCGATCAGGAATGAGCTCCCAATCATTACATCTCATGCTGCCATCTATATGGAACAGAATGAAGTATTACATTACAAACGGTAAATATATGCAACTAACAAAACATATGAAAGTGAGGGTCATCGTATAAGTACAGAATTGCTAACATCAAAACATTCTTCATACCTACCGGCATTTTGGCAAACTTTATCCTGAAAATCTCCCTCCTGGTATTGGAGTCAGGTAATGGAACATATACTATTCGGTCCAACCTTCCTGGTCTCATCAGAGCCTTATCAATTCTGTCAGGTCTGTTGGTAGCTGCCACAATTGTAACATCCCCCAATGAGGTAACCCCATCAAGTTCTGTCAATAGTTGCGCCAAGACCCTTCAATTGAAATGAAATTTAGCTTATGACAAAAATAGCTTAAGAAATTTACCTTTCTTGTACACTTGTACTCGAACCAGAACTTCGCTCACCACCTAGAGCATCGATTTCGTCAAAGAATATTATAGAGGGGGCTACTTGACGAGCTTTTCGAAACACCTCCCTCACAGCTCGTTCTGATTCACCTACCCATTTGCTGAAAAGTTCTGGTCCTGAAATAAATATGGAACATTTGTGAAAAAAGTTGAAAGTTAATTTAGGACCATATAAAGGTGATAGTATATAGTTTGTTTGTATATATCGTAGTTTGTTTGTATATATGAAAAAGCAGTATAAACTGTATTTATGCTGTATATATGTATATCTGTATATATGTGTATATATGTATATCTTTGGAACCAATGCTTTTCTCTATCTCCAGAACCTATGAATGAAGAATAAACCAGTTCTTAAGATGTTTTCAAACAAGCATATGATTCAGTTTACGTTTCCAAGTCAGTAACTATGTTTTGACATGAAACAGCAGCGCTGACACAACAAAAGAATACATATACATATCAATAAAATATGCGATAATTGATAACATACTATCGTTTTGACATATGACAGTTATTACAGAACTTTTACGATTTGAAGACTTTCATATTAAAAAACAGGCGTAGAGGCAAAAACCCACCAAAAAAACCATGGTTACTGTATGGTGGCTAGCGACTGGTGTGCTTCACTATGACTTTCTGCCTCCGGGCGCCGACCGAAGGGGCGTTCAAATCATGAATGCAAATACATAATTATAAATATTTATCACCTCTAGATGGTAGGAACAAATATCTGAGCAGTTATGCTCTCTTGATAAATGAAACAGCAGAGCACCAATTCCATTACATAACTGAAATCATTATTAAGAGTACTCACCTTTAATTGATAAAAAATTCAAGCCACTCTCCGTTGCCAGAGCTTTCGCTATCATAGTTTTTGAGCAACCGGGTGGTCCAAACATCAACACACCTTTAGGAGGTGTGACTCCTAAACGAATGAAACTTTCAGAGTACTTGAGAGGCCATTCGACAGCTTGTCTCAAAATTAGTTTTAGGTTATCTTGGCCACCAATGTCTGACCATTTTACATTCGGGACCTGAAATTTCAAAATATCAGAATATCACAGTTGCAGATTATTATTATCATTAGTTTAACAAATCCCTTTGGAAAAATCAAAAACTGATTTACATCGGTACTTATTTCAGAAGGTAAATTTGTTTTGAACCAGTAAAGAAAACTCTCAACAAAAAATATGGAAATAGAAAGAGAATGGTAACATAAAACTTTACCACAACACAATATTTTTCGTGTATTTTTTTACGACGTACACTGTCTCTAAAATAAAAAGAAAGGCTAGTGTATATATCTGATGTAGGTACTGAAAAAAAAGTTTACAGTAATCTCATAATCTGCATTTGCACAAATATCTCACGGCCCTTTTTTGAAAGATGAAAATGAAATTTATTAATGTTTGGGAACTTTCCCCAGAAACAAATTCCATAATGCAGTTGTGATTCACAAAGGGCAAATTAGGCATTCCTTGCTGAATGATATCCAAATGAGTTGCATATAGATCTAATGGCAAAGCAGCTCAACGATAGTTCAATACACAAATGGACGATATGCTATCAAAACTTTAATTTATGGTCAATATAAAGTCCTAAGAACTTATTCCCTTGTTTATAGTCAATGATTTGCTCACGAAGAAATATTTGATCTGAATGGTATTTGAAAAAAATTAAATTTGTTGTAGCAATAGTAGTTTTCCCATTGCTTCACTTTTCCTAAGTAATTTTCCATATTCGTTTGTAATGAATCAACATTACTGTTATGCCATATATAGACATATAGACGTGCCTTCAGCAAAGATTGTGAATTTACCTTTTAAAGAAATATCAGCAAGGTACTCAATATACAACAAAAGAGCAGGCGAGGACACATCTCTTAGGTACCCCACTTTCAATTTTCAACTTGTCCGATTTCATACTTTTGTATGGCATAATAAGAAAATAATTATTTTAAAATTTAGTATTACCTCTATTTGAACTTCTCTCATAGCACTGGGTCGAACTATTTTCATTGCATATTCGAAATCCTTTTTATTCACTGAAGGTGACCCTCTCTTTGATGCATTCATATCAGCCCTTGAGCACAGTGATACCAGGTCAGCCCCCACATATCCATGTGTATTCATTGATATTGCCTGCATCTCTTCCTCATTTAAATTATGAGGAATGGACTCCAGAAGTTTTTCCAAAATGGTTTTCCTGCTTTTTGGACTAGGAGTAGGAATTTCTATTTCCCTGTCTAGTCTTCCACATCTCCGAAAAGCTGAGTCTATACTGTCTGGTTTGTTAGATGTAGCTATGACAAAGACCTTAAGACTTTTCTTAGAGTTCAAATCTTCAAACAATGAAAGTAGAGTGGATGCAATTCGCTTTTCACTGTCTGTTAATCTACTGCTTCTAGAGGGGCATAATGCGTCAATTTCATCAATGAGAATAATGCTGGGAGTACACTCAAAAGCATTTTTTATCAGATCCCTCAGGGAGTCTTCTGGTGTAATTGTGGAGTTGCCAAACAGATGGGTTGAACTGATATTTACCACATGAACTTCTGATTCTTTTGCTAAAGTTGTTGCAATAGTTGTTTTCCCTGTTCCAGAATTTCCAAACAACAGAACGGCATTGGTTCGTGCTGCACGGGCGGTATCTGATCTTTCTAGACATGATTTCATGAGAATACGAATTTCATCCATTTCTTCATCTACGCCTGCTAGCGAGGTTGAGGATTCATTCTCACTAACTTTTGTCATATATTCGTCATTGTCCCTATAATATTGATGACAATTCAACAAAAAATCAGTTTTCTGTATTTAAAATTAATTTGATTGAATTTTATAAGTGAAGAAGAAACTTTAAATAGCAAATAACATTTAACTCAACCATACTAAGAACTCAAAAAATATTTGAATGTCCCAGTAAACCATCAATTGAAAGTGAATCAGACCAACACATTTTCAACTACTTATTTAGACTTGTGATCAGCCGATGAAAATATAAAAGTTACAATAAATTACAGATAACGAAAACTAAACAATTTGAAAGGGTTATGTTCTTTAAGAGAGATTAGTTTGTATCTGAAGGTAACTTCTATTCATTATTTACATGTCTTTCTAAAGAGTTCGTTTTGAACTTGATTTTTTTTTCTTCCTTCAGAAGTTTTCCACAATTTTTTGTATAAAGATGGAGAAGTGAAAGCCAAAAAGGTTTTTTTCTGAAAACAGAAAACTATCCAATTGTTCAACTGAAAAACAGAATACTATTAATAATCACCTGTATAGTACCCATTTGGTATCACTCCTCACTTCAGCAAATTCATAAATCTCCTCAATAGTCATCCTACTAAAATTATTGTACAAGTCATTACAATTTGTATTTTTTGCTTTAATAGATTCAACTTTGAATTTCAACTGTTTTCCATAAAACATCACATTTATTACATTACCAATTGTTATAAACCTGCCTTCATAAGATTTACTGATTCTGTTGTACAGTTCTGATGTTATTTCCATAGATTTTGGTCCATTTAAGGCAACAATTGTTATGGTATTTGCACTATTCAGGTGATTTGGCAATTTCGATACAGCTACTATTTGATTGATGCCAAAAGAGCTTACTTCAAGGCCTGAAAAAAACAATTTTAATCTGCTCAATTGAAAATATCACTCAGCATCACACCATTTTTTGTAAACAACACAGAGGTGAGCGTCTTCTCAACTGTTGGCCAAACAATCCTAGCAACTGGAGGAAGATCCTTATTAACAGATCGAACGAGAACATATTCCCCTATAGCTAATGAGCACAGACGAATTACAGACTCACTGAGAAATACTAAATTATCTCTCTCCCTAGAACTCAAGTTTTTAATTTCCTCATTTGTTTTTAGGTCTACTGTTCCAAATAACACTCCTTCTTTGATAAAATTATATGTAATGTTCTCTAAATCAGGTGGACAATCACTAGTATGAAAATTAGTATCTTTGTGTTGCAAAGATGTTAGACAACTTTCACACTGTTCCCAAGGCGACACAGTTTTCCTTGGTTTTTGTGGTGTCATTTTACATCTCGTTACACTTCGTAAACAATTACGGAATGGAGAATTAATAAAACTTAACCTCATTAACTTAACTTAACCACGCTTTTTCTTCTTCTTTTCTTCATTTATTAGCCTCAGCAACTAAAGTTATCCGGCTAGTGGGTAACGGAAGTCATTCATCAAACCACATTCGAGTAAAAAATTAGTACTTCAATACTTATTCGATCTTAATTTCATTTTCGAATAAACTTCTCTTTTAGACTCCACTCCAAAAATCCGATATTCACGTGCCATCTTTGAAAATGGTCGTTATCGGCACGACTGCCTCTGTCGCGATGGGAGAGGAAATCTTCATTTACGCTTTTTCTAATAGGACAAGTGACTAGGTAATAGTCAATTTGTTCCAGATCAGTTATTTCCGTCAAAAATTATTCACTTTCTCTTCTAGATCAATAAGGATGTGTTCTGATGACAACCAAATTGTATCATTCCTGCCAAAAGATATTATTTACATTACGTGCTTCGCATTAAATTCACACTTCACATTATAAAATTTATAATTTAATTTAATAATTAAAATAAACAATGTGTTTGTATCTAGTTCACACCATCGACACTAGGTAATGTATATTACTGGACTTCTATGCCTACACCAAACCGTTATTTTTAACACTTCGACAAGTGTTTCAATCACCAAGAGCTCATCTTCAAGAAGAAGAACCAATCATCCTCTTGAAGATGATCACTTGGTGATCCCCAGTTTTATTAATTAGAGAGAGAGAGAGAGAGTATGTGTTTATTACCCAAGGTACAGGACCTTATAGACAAACACTAGTAAAAAGAGAACATGTAAATAACTACATGCAAAGGTTCCAAACATTGCATCACAAGTACCAGGTAATGTATAGCTTATTTTGAATTCCCTATAACTTTTTTCTGTTCAATCAAAATTGAGATGTCATAAATACTGGTGAATGCTGGTACGCGCGTTTTTTTAAGGAATTCTTGTAGACCAAGTAGAGTAGTTTTGACGTCGCCACAAGATGAAGTCGACAATGCGTATTTCCATCAATTCAGCCTTGAATGATGTTGGGAATTCTGATATATTTTTCTCAGAACTGGAGAAGTGAGTTATTGCCCGAAATATAGCCAATTGTGTTTCTTGTACCAATACTCTAAAATGCAAATAAAACCAGTAAAAACAGTCACTAATGAAGAAATTAGACGAACAAAAGGCGAGTTCATAAATTCATCGATGAGTCCACCAATGGATTCACCTATTGATGTTCGAAACATTAGCGCATTTCTAATTTCTATTAGTTGAAGCTATATATCAGAAGTTTCGTGTTGGTTCTGAACTTCGCTCAAACAAATACATGACGTCATTGGTAGAAGTCGGTTCTATTTCGTAACTCCACCAAAAAAACTCCAATTTTCCCGCGCATAGTAGTGACAATTCTGATTATTTGTTTTTCTGTTGCTTGTTTTCTGATCTGTCGTTGTCTGTGTTCTGTTCGGTTAATGGGAATTTTGGAGGTTTTACTTTTTTTATGAATAATCATAAATAAATTATTTGTATAAAATGGGAGACCAGGGCCAGTCGGAAAAACATATTTCAAGTGATGGTGAACCACAAGTTAATCAAGATGAACTCATATTAGCTCAACAACGCCAAATTGAAAAAGAAGTAAGTTGATAAAGAGTTTCAGGTTATATTTATGTCAAAAACCTTTCTAAGATTTCAGAGACCACAGCTATAGTAGGGGACTTGGAGCCGATTACATCCCTCAACAATGAATATTCTGCGGATGACGTATATCTAGATAAAGTTAAGGATTTGGCTTCAAAATACAAGCATATTCGCAGAACTAGGCCTGATGGAAATTGCTTCTTTAGAGCCTTCAGTTATGCAAATATTGAAAGACTGCTAGGGAAAAAAGAAGATTATAATGAGTTTTTTAAATTATCTGAAAATAGCAAAGATGCTCTAGTTTCCCTTGGATTTCAACAATTTACTGTTGAAGATTTTTTTGATACTGTAGGTAACAATAATATTGATACCATAATGTTGTGATAATTTTTTTTTCAAGTATATGGAGGTATTGAAACGTTTGAAAGCCATCGATGATGTAGAAGAAGCCCGAAAAGAACTACACACCTTGTTTAATGATCAAGGTTTTTCGGATTATATGGTGGTCTATCTGAGACTTCTTACTAGCGGTCAGCTCCAAAAAGATCAAGATTTTTATAGCTGTTTCATTGAAGGGGATCGGACTGTGAGTATTCTCAGTAGTTTATAATCGATGAGAAAATGGAAAGGTTTACAATTTTCAGGAGAGATTAGTTTTCGGAAAATAAAAGTTTTTTTGTTTTTTACTTCCTCATCTTTATATGTAAAAATGTGTAGCATTCCTATGAATCCTATCTGTTTCAATTCCATCACAAATGTTTTGAGTACAAACTGAATAGGAAAAAGTTATTTTCGTATTTTGTATAAAAACTGACTGGCGTTTTTGGTTCTGAAAAAAACCTAGAAAATTCTGATTTCTGTTTCAGGCTGTATTTTAATTCATAGAGATATTGAAAATATGCTGTATCTTTGTTGTGGGAGCTTTCAATTAGCTATCAGAATATGCTCATACAAATTTGAACAAGGTTTCAACTTGAATCTTCCTCAACTTTGAAATTTTAAATATCATTCTGTACTTATTTTATATAGTAATTTTTTTATCAGATATGTGAGAGTCATTAATATTTTTACTTACAGCCATGATTATCAAACAAATACAATTAATATGTCCTTTTATATACAACTGATTCTCAAAAAAGTAACACCTGAAAAATATTACTATCACAACAATCTTTTTTCAGTTTTGTTTTTTCAGGTCAAGAAGTTTGAAAAAACTTAAAATTTTTCATCCTTACCTCATTTTCGGTACCCCGGTATTGTATGATTACAGTAGGCTATGATCTTTAGCAGTAGTAAAATCAGTCCAAAGATACACTTTAAGATCGTTGAATAATGTGAAAAATATGAAACAGTGAAGGAAAAGTGGATGTATAATTTCACTTCTCCAGTATCTCTTGAACTATTATTGTTGTTTTTTGAGGAGTTATTCCGTTATTTTACAACATAGATTCTATACGTAGGTCATTATAATAATGTTATAATACTTTTTTAGGTATTCGAGTTCTCTCACGAACTTCAAGAGTTTTGAATTAGGAAGGTAACTCCATTTACAGGTTAAAGTCAACATTTTTTCTTAAACAATTTATATTTTTAATTACTGATTGGCTCCTGCAAAAGATCATTGAATATTGCGAAATTAGAAATATAAGTGGGACATAAGACTGTTTTTTAAATTTCTCAAGGTTGTACGAATATTTTTGCACTCAACGCGCGTTTTGCCAACAAAGTTAGCATCCTCAGGAGAAGAAAATTGATACCTAGTCTAGTCTGGTTAATCCTTATATACTAAAATTTCTTACCTGAGGTTGTATACCTGAAATCCAATATGGAATTTCTCGGTAATTAACTACCTGCAAGTTCTTAGTAATTATTCTTTTCCTAACAGAAGATTAAAAAGCGGGCTAAACGGGATGTGTCCCTTATCGCCATTCATGCTGTTCTTACATTTTGCTATTTCTAGACTCACATGCATCGAGTAGCCTGGTGTCATGCACATGCTTAATCAGTTTCAGATTGTTTTCACCAATTCTGGGGTCATTGTCTAGAGCATGTTGGGCGACACTGGATTTTTCTAACCTTCCGTATTTCATGTGTGCACAATGCTCCTTGAAGCGGGTTTTAATCGCTCGTCGGCTCTGGCCGATGTATTTGCAATGGAAGGATAGAAAAATCCAGTGTCGCCCAACATGCTCTAGACATGGACCACAGAATTGGTGAAAACAATCTGAAACTGATTAAGCATGTGCATGACACCAGGCTACTCGATGCATGTGAGAGTCTAGAGATAGCAAAATGTAAGAACAGCATGAATGGCGATAAGGGACCCATCCCGTTTAGCCTGCTTTTTAATCTTCTGTTAGGAAGAGAATAATTACTAAGAACTTGCAGGTAGTCAATTACCTAGAAATTCCATATTGGACTTCAGGTATACAACCTTAGGTAACAAATTTTAGTATGTTAGGATTAACCAGACTAGACTAGGTATCTCCTGAGGATGCTAACTTTGTTGGCGAAACGCGCGTCGAGTGCAAAAATATCAGTTTGGTGTTAGGGCAATTGATCTCGAAAAAAGTTATTCAACTTTCATACCAAAGGTTCCAATCTCATCGTTATTCAGGTACTTGGTTATTCATACGACATTAAAGTCTAAATCATAATAATAATAGAAATATATGTTATAATACTGTTTAACTTCTCATTTTTTTTTCTAAATGTGGTATTATTTTGAAATTGTTTTCAAAAATTGATTTTTTCACTATTCACTAATGTTGATCAGTGGTCAAAGCTTTTATCATAGTAAATTTATAAACATTTCTTTCTGCTCCAACATTTGAGAACAGATGTTCGCTTGTGACATGTTTTTGAAATGGAAATTTTGAATCCTGTTTAATTGCAAACATGATATATCTTTGATCAGTTTTATTTTCAAAAACTATTGAATGCTGACACAAAACATATGACACAAATTCTCGTCTGTAGTTTTGGAATTATCTGTGAGTCTACAAACATGAATCTGAACGGTAACATAAGTGTTATAGATATGCAAGAAACTGTCAATATTGCAAAAAAATACCGAAAGTATGAAAGAACTTGCTTAACTTGTAAGTGGATAAATGCGAGTATAGAGTATATAAATATATTCACTTATCAAGTGATGAAAAGAAAAGAAACAAGGGTCACAATATAATGGCAAATGTAAATAATATGATTATACCATGTTTATATTGACAACTACAATCTCCTTGATAAAGCATTGGAAATATTTGTATCATGGTTTAGTTAGGATGATAAATGCATATCTCACTGCATAACCTTCAAAAATTTTTGATGGAGTATTTTGAGTCAGCTGTTTCAAATGATTGTGTGAAAAGAAGTCTCAAGGTTTGAAGTTGCCAGTCCTCACATGACCACTTTCTCACGATTTCGAAAACAATTAATTAACTTATCGATTGGCTTGTTGTTGGTGTGTGTGGTTGATCAAAAGAATGATTTTATGGAAAAAAAAAGTTTTGGTTTCCTACTTCTCCAACGTTAAACAAAAGATTGGGAAACTTTCAGTTCATATCTGAAATGATCTTCTGTGTTTGCTCTACCTACATACCTGAATAAAGAGTTTTTATCTAATTTTCTTCCTTTGGAAGTTTTCCACCACATTTTTTGTTTAATGATGGAGAAGTATTAAGTGAAACATCTTCTTTCCTGTAAACTAATCTCTCTTTCAAATATTCCATTTTCAATTTGAATAATTTTATTGTTTGAAAGTTCTGGTTAGAAATTTTCATTGGTATCTGTCGGAGAATGCTGGCTCTCAATTTTATTGTGGAATTGTAACTCACACGAACAGTTTCTTAGAGAATTTGACCCTGTACAGTTTTTTAGAGAATTTGACCCTAATGGTCGTCTCTTCCACAATTCACTTCTTCCACGATTAAGAGACATCGCTGATCAATGTGACATTTTGAAAGGAAATGAAAATATCACAATTCAGTCCAAAAATATAAAATCTTGTATAAATATTTGTAGAATGTGCAAAAATTTTATATTAGTAGCGTCACTGCATACTCGCAAATACATCTAAAATAGCTTTGAATCTAATATATAAAAATGGATGTTTGTTCGTTGGTTGGTTGGTTGGTAAGCGATAAACTTCTACATTGCTCAACCGATCGTGATGAAACTTGACATGTATAAGTAAATTTCCATAGAGAAGGTTTTTAGGCTATCAATTTTTCTGTAACTTGCCACTAGATGGTGCTGTAGAACAATTTTTTGAAAGTACTGTTCTATAACGCTGCGCACGCCTAAATTCGTTGATTCTGATTCTGTCAAGACATTAGAACAGCAGAGATTCCCTCAACATAGTACTAGTATAATATGAAACAGGTTGAAAAAACCAAAGAATACAGTTACTCCTGAATACTCTAGTTTGCCTTTGTACTAGAAAGTCTAGGGATATATGGTAGGGTTACAGGCAGAAATGGAAAACTCTTGGAGAAACACAACATAAACGATCAATTGACGTAGCCGTTACTACGTGGTAGGAAATCATAATGAAGAAAAGAAGTGAATTGAAACTTTCTGTTTTTTAACAATTTATTTGTAACTAACGTCAATGCAGTTTCGTCCTATAAGGACATTTTCAAACTTATACATTAAAGTAATCAATCGTTGTTAGTTTAATGTGTAAGATTGAAAATGTCCTTATAAGACGAAACTTTAGTTACAAATAAAAGTGATAAAAATCATAGAAAGTTTCAATTCTCTCTTCTTCACAACATAAACGGTTTTTAAATCAAACAAGAAGATACAACAAAGCCTCAGTTCGGCTACAGACAAAAGAGACCCACTATCAGCAACAGGGGTATATCATCACAAACTTGTGGGAAGGTATACATCAGAACCACCAAAAGATCCATGGAAACAAGGCTGCAAGTGCACGAAAGAAACTGCAGACTAGGCCAAACGGACAGGTTGGCTGTGGCGGAACACACACTCAGTGAAGGAAACCACAGTATTCTGTTTGAAAACACGAAACTCATTGCTCCCAAACAGGTATACCATAGCCGACTGGTACCGGGGGCAAAGAAGTTCAAGAACAGCAAACAGCATGACGACAGGTAGAAAAGGGTCAACGAATGTTATTGACAATTTACCTAATCCAGAAACAGGTATTATCACATCAGACTACCTGAGTCAACATGTCAAGCTTTAAGCAATTTACCAAATCCAGGTACAGGTATTAGCACACCAGACTACCTGAGTCAACTTAAATACCCTTTACACAGAAAAATAGTGACACTGAAAACCTCGGCCGCGAAAACCTCAACCATTATATCATTATTAATTGAGTTATAGTTTTTTAAATTTATTATCTTTTTATAATACTTTCTATTTCTACTTTCTTTAGTAGCTAACCATGAATGTTTCAAAATCAAACTGGCTTTTATGGAGGAATATCTGATTTTTTTCTCCGTTTCTTCAAGGTTGTTGATTTCTGCCATCAAGAAGTGGAACCTATGTATAAAGAAAGTGACCACATTCATATAATTGCTGCCTGTGCAGCATTGCAAACAGGAGTTCGAGTTATCTATATGGATAGGGGTACAGGTAAATCTTGTACCCAACATGATTTGCCCGAGGGTTGTACTCCTACTGTTCATCTCCTTTACCGTCCAGGACATTATGATATTTTGTATCCTTAGAATGTAGATTTAAGATTTTTGTATTTTGTTTAACATTTCTTCAATAAAAATTTGGATTTTTGAAAATGTGATCTGTTTTTTATTTTGGGAGGCTTTACCGTGATACATTTTTGCAGAAAGATCTATCCAAAGGTAACCATAATATCAATATGTAATTTTTTAAAATAATTTTGCATTCTTCATAGCTGTTTACAGTCTTCAGAGAATACAAATAAGCTATCACTAACTTGCGATGGCCTTTTATCTAATTGGCATTGTGGTCGGGAGGAATATTTTTTCAGGCAGAACATTTCCTTCATAGTCTAACTTTAAATTGCAGTTGCTATTTCACATAAAATATTTTGCTATCTCTTTGGTAGTTATTTGTATTATTCCATATCATTAGAAACTGGGTGGGAAATAGAACTTGAAATTTTTGGATTCCTTCTTTAGATCCTAACAAATTCTTCAAAGGCATTCAAATTTTCTCCGCTATGCAGAATTTTGACAGATTCATTGAGCTCCCTGCACGGTATCCAACAAAACTACTCAAACATTCTCTGATGAAGACCCCCAGAAGTAATGTCTCCTAATTGAAATTGAGAGTTACCAGATAGTTATAGCTTGTTCATCTGGGTAAAAGTCATACTCGTACCAATGAACATTTGTTGAAGGAAGAAAAGATACGTTCTTTGTACTTATACTGTACCAATGTCTGCCAAACATATCCTGAAAATACATTTCAATTCTCCTCCTTACCACTTGTGACAGTATCATAAGTTTTTCCAATCTTTTGCGACAAGAACATTACCCGTCTTGGGACAAAGAGAAAATCCGGAACTATCTCCATTGAAAACTCTCCTGGGATCTTCCATAATGCCTGATAAATGATTGCTTGCAGGTAGAATTGAAGATAATAGCCTCTTTCGTGACTAATGATTGTGAACTCTGTTAATGCTCTCTGCTTTTCTGAGTGATATTCCTGCATGAAGTTTAGGGAAATATAATTTCTAACCAGACTGATGGTTTTTGGACATATGGAGTATTCCCGTATCCCTAGCAATTATGGTGACTATTCGAACTTGCCAGATGTGTTTTTTTTTGTCCTTGACAAAAGTCAAGTTTTTTTAAAAACGTTCTGCAATTTTTTCTTTCAGTCTATCTTGGATATGGTTTGAGGCAATACCTATTCCAAACTAGCGACTCGCTTCCTCAACACTCTTATTATTTTATCTTATTTCAGTCAGTTCCTGTTTTATGCCTAATCAGAGTAACAAAATGATGTTTTCACATTCACCCTCTTTCGAGGTAGCTTACTTACTTTTTGATATTATTATCTTTCACCATTCAACTGAAAATAAAAATCAAGATAGTGACCAGTTTCAGATTTGTTGTCGTAAAATAACATTTTTTGGTCATCTAAATCATATGCTATCTTTATAAAAAGACGAAAAAACGGTATAACCTTTCCTATTTTCGGCCACCGGATTACTGTCTATTGTAATATCCCGCGTACATACAAAAACGGGCAATTACTTTGTCAATGTGCTGAGAAACAATGTGAGGAAAATGTGAATGTCATATTTGTGGTGCAGTGACAGAAAGGTAGGTACCTCATTATTTTTCAGTGTTTTCCCGGTTTTCAGCCACCCTGGCCGACAAAATGGTCATCTAAATCATATGCTATCTTCATAAAAGGACGAAAAAACGGTATAACCTTTCCTATTTTCGGCCACCGGATTACTGTCTATTGTAATATCCCGCGTACATACAAAAACGGGCAATTACTTTGTCAATGTGCTGAGAAACAATGTGAGGAAAATGTGAATGTCATATTTGTGGTGCAGAAAGGTAGGTACCTCATTATTTTTCAGTGTTTTCCCGGTTTTCAGCCACCCTGGCCGACAAAATGTTTGTATATTATTTCTTTCTAGTTCACCCACCACTCAATGAAAATAATAATATTCTGATAGGTATAACATTTTTTTCCGTTTTCAATAGAAGCTGAACCTGCATATATTCAACTTATGTACAAAATTAGTTGTTAGTTCTAATAGCAAAAAGTTCACTCTCTTTTTTTCTGCGAGGTCTTCACTACATATATAGAACTCGGTCTAGTTGGCTGACATTTTTGATACTGTATTTTACTTATAATTTCTATCCCTATATTAGAAAGTAAGGCAACACAGTTGGGCACAACAGTTAATTAAAAAAAATCCGTTTTGAACCTCATCCCATTTATTGGTGAATTACTCAGTAGAACTGACTTGCTATGAATATTTTCTGTTTGTCGACACATAATTAACAGGGTATATTCCAAACTAATTCTTAAAATAAATTATCTACATCCACATTCCGTCGCAATAATGTTATCATAATTTTTAATGGCGATGTTATCGAACTTGTCAAAATACATTATTGGTTGAGAACGGTACTTTACTGGTACGCAACACAGCGACCTTTTTTGAAAAATATGGAGAAGTTTCACATGATTTTTATCTTCGAGTTTTGGCTTCAAACACTTCCCAGAGCAGTCGTTGGCCAGGAAGCTATCTGGAGTAATTATAAATTGGTCCCATCCTAGATTTCGAAAATTAACAACCCACTCTTTTCTCTGGCATTCAGCAGAGATCTCTGATGCTTTAGTGGGAAATTGTTCTGTGACATCTGAAAGTGTACCTGTAAAAATATGTATTTAAATAGCGATAAATACCTATTCTGTATTGAAAAGGTAAGGTATAGTTGAAACCAAGAACTGCTAATGGATTTTTAAGTTCAAAAACTTGACCACTTCATTGAAAATTTGGTTGACTAATAGTTTTAAAACGAAAAAAAAAGAAGGCTGTATGATTAGCTTGGAATATAGTGCCTTCGATATTAATATTTGACTATCAATAATAAAAAAATTCGAATTATGGACATCAAGATTTTTCAATAAATAACTATAGTTCAGTATTATGGTTTGGCTCTGGGATACATCCTTCAAACATGTAATATGAAAAACTTACTGTTATTTTGAACTTTAATTGCAATAAAGGTTCTAAACATTCCCTCGTTCGAGTCCTTGAATATCTCTACCAATTTATTGTCGTCGTAACTTGAAATCGTTAGGATAAGACCCAAATTTTCTTCTCCTGTTAGCCAATTGTCGATGGGTTTTTTTACTTTGAAAATCTAAAAATAATATACAGTTTTTAACTACCATATTTTTTAGAATTTTGTAATTTTTAATATTTAACTATTTTAGATGATTTTGGATACCAAAAGCGTTGCATTTATGCATGTTCCTAAAATATACAGCACTGTTTTTTTTTGGGCCGGGTTATGAATGCAAAGTTTGAACCCAAAAGCATTCATGGCTCGGCCATGAATGCTTTTGGGTTTAGTATTTTTGTATTTTCAAAGCACTCACTTTCGAAGCTTGGTTTAGCAACGGACCGCCGTTTTGGTCTTTGTTTATCTTTTTAAGAGGGTCGTTAGCACCACTTCATCTTTTACTAAGGACACCCCCTAAAAGTCATTTTCGAAAATTCACACTGTACATTTTTGGTACTTGGTATTTGAAAAAGTGTACCTACTTTTAGTACTGAACTTGGTACTGAATACGTGAGTTATGCTTGGTACTTGGTACTGTCACTCAAGTATCAACATTCGCATTCAAACAGCTCATCCGGGTTATTTTTATCAAAGACAAATCAGTTTAAATGTCGCCTGACCCTTACTAGTACCTCTGATGAAATTTGGCACATCGGAAATTTGTGTGTATATATTTCTTCTCTCATTATATTGTTGATGTTTTTTTTTCATATTTAATGCATAAACTGTATTGGGAACAGAATAGTTGTTCTAAATTGGAAAGTAAGTAGTTTTGAAAAAATAATTCCAAAACTTACAGAAACCAAAATTCTCTACAAAAATGATCATGATTTATTAAAAATCATTCATGATGATGGATCAGGCTTTAGCCAGAAGACAGCAAGAGCTCCACAAGGAAGAGAAGCCACCACAACCAGTACGTATACTTCCCTACATCAGAGGATTGTCGGAAAGGATGAGAAGGATTGGGTCCAAGTATAACATCAGAACCTGTTTCAGATCTGGAAACACCATCCATAGCAGCCTCACGAAAACCAGGCCACCAAACGCGGACTGCAATTCCAAGATTTGCATTTACCGGAAACCCTGCGAGTGCGGAAAATCATACAGCGGTGAAACTAAGAGGCCAGTGAGAGTTCGCATTGCCGAGCACAAGAAACACAACACAGCGAGGAGAAACCAGTAAATCAGGAATAGCAGAGCATGTTTGGACACATCAACATAACATCAAGTGGGCTCAAGCTGAAATCATCCACAAGGAGGACCACTGGTTTAGGAGAAAATTCAAAGAAGCCGCATATATGTTGTCCAACCACGCATTTAGCCAAGCTAGCGTAGAGATACGCGACATATGAAAACCTCTAATCAAGCAGAACACGACCAACTCCCGCCAAACGGTTAGCTTCCGCCAAAACCGATGAAACGGTGAGAGGGAATAGATGAAAGCACTCGAATGCCTATAAATAGTCAGATTTCGGAGGAATAAGTCCAGTTATCACCCGAAGACGATTGTAGATACTAACAATCGAAACGTCGTGAAGTAACTTGGTTTGGAATCCTTCAATTCAGTCATTCAGGGATTTCAAATCATTTTATATCGTATTAGACAATGGAAGTCCCAACTAATGAAAAAATAATTCAGTCATGATTTATGTTACAAATTTGGAGCTTGGTTCATGAGATGGAAAAGTTACTTATCGAAACAGATCCTGTCTCAAACGAAGGCTTCACATATTTAGTAGAGCATAGATGATGTCTGGATTATATTTATCTTTTACAGATGTGGACTAATACTCTGAAACCGGTCTCTGACCACTCGACTGATTTCAGTAAGATCCTGCTGCTGGACGAATGTCTGTCAAATATAATCCAATGTCCGTTGTGGTATTAGCAAAGGAATGAATTGTTTTCCAGCAGGCATTTGCCAGAGGAACATTGTGTGCACTTTGGAAGAGTTTGAATAAATGTAGAAATTCGAATCCCAGTTTATGTATCATAGTTTTTTTAAAATTCTTACCTGCCATCCTTTCTGCGCTTTGGAAACATATATGACATTGAAAAGTTTATGAACATCGGGATTCTGTATCGAATTAGTTTCGTTCAAGTCTTCATCGAACTGGCTTTCCAACTGATACAAGCGTAGCACCACGGATTCTCTGTGAATACTCGAAGTATTTTTTAATGGCCAGTAAAAATACAAATCCGCATCTAGAATGTTTTCGTTTGCATCCACGCTATCCAGATTGAAGAACAGAATACCGCTTGAACTATTTCTGTTTGTATTGAAAAGTATTCTCGTGTTGACGTTGGAAGACGTTTGTTCTTCACTTGCCCTTTCATAGAACTTTTGTATAAATTTTGGTAAATTATTTTTAGACTGGTTTTTGTGCTGGTAATTCCATTCTTCATCCAAATATTGTGGAAGGATCTGAAAAGACGTGTGACTGAATAACGGGAATACACGACAATCATAAAAAATTTGGATATTCGAAGTTATGCAACAATGTACTGATATTTTAAACTGACTAAATGATTTTAACCGAAGGTGTGGCATACAAGGTATAAGGTTGTTTCAAAAGTTCTGTCCGTTTTAATGTTGTGTTTTTTTTGCACCTCCATATCATAATAAATACGTATTCTACTGTGTCGTGGTATAGAGTGCATTCCATTTGAAACGAGCCACCCTAAATAACTTTTGCTACAATGATTTTCAGGTATAATAAAAAACACGTCAACAATAGTATACAGGGGGACATATTTTGACATATTCATATTTGATGTTACTTCCCTATCGCACCCCCATTGCATGTCTCCAATTTTTTTAAATGGATCACCCTATATTGTTTCGCATTATCAGATGATCCATGATAAGCAGATTTCAACTAAGTATAAAACATATGGTCTGAAGCTTATGGTTCGGGAGCTACAAACTATTTGAGTTGAAAACGAGCCAACCTGAATAACTTTTGAAACAATGATTTGCAGGAAAAATAAAAAAACAGGTCAACAATTATACAGGAGGCCACATTTTGAAGTATTCGTTCTAGAGACAAATATAAAAGCAATAAATCAGAAAAAGATATTTTTTATTAATTTTTGAATCAAAATCTGATGAAAGAAGAAAACAATTTTCTATAATAAATATTCAAAAACGTTTCCATCAACTTTCATACAATGGTAAAAACGAGCTTCCATTGCCGCCCTCACATGGTTAAGAATCTCGGAAGTTATTTCTCATGATATTATCTCTCAAATCTTCTAATGTTGTTGATTCTATCTCATACATATTAGATTTCAGATCACCCTATAGAAAGAAACCTACAGGCGTGAGATCCGGAGACCTTGGTGGCCATCTTTAGGACCTCTTCTGCCAATCCAGCGACCAGCAAAATGATCATCCAAAAATTGTCGCATTTGCCCTATTGGTGCACGGTATTATTCGATTCTCGCAACATTTATCACTAGTCAAATTATCATCGATAAAAACAGATCCTATGATGTGATCTCCTAAAATTCCTGCCCAAACATTCACTTTTTGAGGTCGTTGGGTATGAACTTGATGGTATAAATGAGGATCCGTATCACTCCAATATCAAAAATTTTGCCGATTCACCTCTTCATTCAAACCTAACGTACATCCATCCGAAAAACAAATTTTATACAAGAATTTCTGATGCAAGTTGATCCGTTCAGCGAGAGTTTCACAAAACTCGATACGTCTATCGAAATCATCTTCGTTCAATTCATGAACTAGTCTAATCTTATATGGATGAAATAATTTATACTTATGAAGGATCCTGAAAACAATTGTACGACTGATTAGTCCAACGTGTCCTAAAACTGCAGTACAAATAGCTTCAACGTTGACAACTCCCGAACAGTTATGCTTTTTATTGTTAACAGATCCAGTTTCCATAAATTTGTTCAATAATTCCGAAACGTATTTGTCTCGTACATTTCTTCCTGAATGATTATCATTGAAAATACGGGCAGCAGCTCTAGCACTATTTCCATTCTGGTAGTACAAACTCACTATTTCAATCCGTTCTCGAAGCGTATAAACCATTGCTTCTCAAGAATTCACAGAAACAGAAACACCAATTGTAACTTCACCTGGTAGGTAATCGTTATTGTAGAATGAGACAAATACAAAATGAAGAGAATATCGAATTCAAACTTAATTAGGCAAAATAAGACTTTTTTGAGAAGACCGTTAATATGTGTAATCGTTTATTGGGTTTCATTATAAGAAATACAAGACATTTCAGAAATGCAAAAACACTTCTTAATCTATATTACTCTTATGTATACAGTCGTTTGAACTTTGCATCTGTCGTTTTTAGTCCACAATATTCGATTTACCAACAGAGAATTAAAAGTGTTCAAAATAAATTCGTCAAACAATTGGCGCGTAAAAGTGACATTTCTATAATCAATAGAAATTTCCGTCCAGTTTTCAAGAAGTATTCTTTGTTGTCTCTTACAGATAGAAGAAAAATGTCAGATATATTAATGCTGTACAAATTATTCAATAAACGTGTCGATTGTCCTACGTTGATAACAAAAATTTCATTGAATACACCTTGCAGAGACTTGCGAAACCATGATCTCTTTGCAACCCCATTCAGAAAAACCAATTCAGGAAAAAATTCTTTTATGCAGAATAGTGAGATCCTTCAATACTCATTGTAATGATATTGAAAAACTGAGATTACCGTTCCTTAGATTTAAAAAGTATGTGAAATCCATTTCTATTTGTAATTAGTTCTTCATATACTGTTTTTTTTTATTTTTTGTTAATATTCATTACTATATAGTGTAATGTACTTAGCATTTATATTTTGTTTACTCACTATCTTTCAGATGTAAAATGAGAATATTTTTTGGATTTATTCTGTTTGTATCCCTATTTGTGTAATAAATAAATAAATGAATACTTCACAAAAACATCTATGAAACCAATGTAACAGTTTGTACAGAAGTTCATTCAGCGTGGCTCGTTTTCAACTCAAATATTTTTTAGCTTCCAAACTATGAGCTTCAAACCAGCGGCGGCTCGTCAGATGAGGCAAGGGAGGCTTAGCCTCCCCATAAAATTTGAGGCTATTCATCGCAATAAATTAAAAGTTATTAACAAACAATCATGATTATTTTTTTCTAAAAATGCTTGGGTACATGATATGCCCGAAAAAACTCTATCACTCACTACATAGTACGTACCACACTGTATCCTGTATCAACAAAACTCAAACGCACCGCCCATGAACGAATAAACCGTCAACCCGAAATAATAAATGACATACGCTACAAGGGAGCCAAGCCTCCGACCGCTTTAAAAAACACAGGCTCCACGAGACCGATCCAACAAGCGACATACGTCCCGATTTGTAATTTTAGTTGCAGAAATTATAGTAGTATGCAAATATCACGTATTTTGTTTTAAATAGGTGCGGTACCCCAAAAAATTTTCGAGTCTCCGGCGGGCTTTTCTGTGTGTATATAGTCTTTATGACTTTAGCCTCCCCTGTTCTCCAATGCACGAGCCGTCACTGCTTCAAACCATAATGTATTCTACTTTGTTGAAATCTGTTCATCATGGAACATCTGATAATGCAAAACAATTGATCCATTTAATAAAAATGGTGACTATTGTTGAGGTGTTTTTTATTTTTCCTGAAAATCATTGTTCCAAAAGTTATTCAGGGCGGCTCATTTTCAACTCAAATAATTTGTAGCACCCGAACCATAAGCTTCAATACTTCTCATCATGGAGAATCTGATAATGCGGAACAATATAGGGTGATCTATTTAAAAAAAATTGTTGACATGCGCTGGGGGTGCGATAGAGGAAGTAACATCAAATGTGAATATGTCAAAATGTGTCCCCCTGTTTACTATGATTGAAAGTAGAATCATGAAAACGGACAAAACTTTCGAAACAAGCCTGCGAACAATGTTATTAGGGAGTAGTTTTTTTAATGTATCCGAGTTTTATGATGAATGATCGAAATTGATTGCTTTATTTCTTTCTTTGGAAGATTCCCATATTTTTTTATATATAGATGGAGAAGTAGAAAGCCGAAACCTTTGTTTCCCTTTCAATTCAAAGATATTTTTATTTAAAATAAATGTTATCGAATCACCGAAGTTGTTGAAGGGTACTCAAGAAAGTAAACAAAAAAGTACCACTTACCGTCGTTTTCTTTTCCTCAAAATTAAGAAAGTTCGTTGCGCCCCCGCGCCGATTAGGATATTCATAATCGGTTATATTATGGTTGAGATAATGAATTCTGTTATGCACTCTCACTTCACTATTGTTTTTACCCATTTTGAAGTAATATTTTCTTCCGGAGTTATTAGTAACATTCTGAAGCAGACTCAATTCGAAAATTGCGAATAAAATAAATGCTGCCTTCATGACTTCTGGGACAAATTCAATTCACTACGGCAAATCTTGTCAAACTGTTGAAATTATGTGCCTACTCGAGTAATTCTGGAGATTGGAGGATGTGTATGAAATGTTCTTGAATTGAGTGAATAATTTCCGTTTTAGTTATAAAAATTAGAAGTTGAGTAAGTCTCATACTTGCTTGAAAGGAGCGAGACGAGATTGAATATACAGAATGTATTCGTAGTGATGCCATTAATTTCAGATGGTGATTATTTATTATATTTTATGAAAAAAAGTTTATATGAATGTGTGTCCCAACTTGCTTCGTTTCCGAGTAACGGGGTGTCACAGTTTTACTAAAAATATTGTTCTTTTATTTTTTATTATTTCCACATTCAAAAGAATACAATAAATATTAGAAATCAAGGTTCATATATGGAAATAAAGGGCGAAGTTTATTTTCTGTTGTGTAAATGCGACAGAAAATGTTCTTCCACTGGCTTCTCACAGGGTTATCAGAGGGTTACTTGATTCATGTATGGTAAGATATTGTCGAGCGATTACACTGACACATGACACTAGCAAAAACCTACATAATTCATCTTACTAGCAAAGGTACATCCTCTAACAGTTCTGGCAATGTGTCTTCTAGAAATTCTCCATACGTCACACCATCGAGTCAAACACTTCGATGACTGACATTAAACTGTGCAGGGTACTTGTTGAAGAATTGCCGTCAACTTCATGAAGAATTGCTTCCACTAATTGTGGTGTAATTAAAGATTGCACAGGCTAGCGTGAAATCTGGTGAAAGTTCTTTCTGCCGGAGTATCTCTGTTAGGTTATCTTTTTCCTGCACCATCGCAATCCTCTGCAATTGTGGACGAGTTTATGAACTGACCATTACCAGATCGTAGGATAGAAACATGGGGAACATTGGAATGGTCCGCTAGATTGTCTGATCTTAGCTCAATAAACTTCAAAACACGAATGTTATGCTCAACAAGGTCAATGGAGAATATTTTGAATATTCACTATGAATTTTCTTTTGTTTGTAGCTGCCAAAAGACGTAATTTTCATTTATTCATTTTGATTACATTCATTCTTTATGTCTCATTTTGTCATTTTTACACAATTGTCCACTATTTTTATAAACGATAAGTTTATTCATTATTCACATTCGAATCTCGAACACTCAACTAATTGAACACATAATTTGTATTACTATAGTCTATTTCAAAAGAGTGTAGAGTAATAAATCATGAAGTGTCATAAAATTTGCCTGAATTTCGTTGTCGTCCATGGGCGTAGGCAAATCTTAGGATTATTAAACTTAATAATTAAAGTAAATTAAAAATTACAGACATAGATAATAATAAAAGGCCATTTTTGGGAAGTAATTTGGTCTAAAACTAAGTACCTACATGTATTTAGGTAAGTAAAATTTCTTAAAAAAAGATTAAGATTAATTTTAGTGGTTCTTGTAAACTTATTTAATATGCAATTTGGGTTCATATACTTGAGCATGATTTCTCAAAAAAGGGTTAACACTTAGTTCCGAGGTGCCATGTCATTATAATAATCCCTTTTTGACCCTGCCCACCAATCATGCAATACCTATTAAAC